GGGTCACGTCGAGCACATGCGTTAACGCAACTAGTCATGCGCATGTACTAGCAAATCGCCCTGACTACGCACGGATACATTCACAAATAGAGAAAATAAATACCCTTTATGAAGCGGGAATAAAAAAGCTTTCTTTTGCTATAATAATGTTTGAAATCAATTCAGTAGTTTTTGAGTTTTTCTAAGACAAAAAATGTTGAAATCAATTCCATTGAAATTTATCGAAGACTAGCTGTTCCCCTGCGACTTCATCCGCATAAAATTATGAAAATTTTATTTTATTGTTTACATGTGTCAAATTATCAATTGCCAATGTCGACATGATGACAAACTATGGCAACCTTGCTTCCTTGATGTTGGCAGCTTGTAGTTTATGGTCCCTTTCTCACATGTAGGATTTTATCCAAAATATTTATCCTTTAAGTTCAATGGCGGGAAAATATATAGCCTAAAGCGTGACGTAAGTGTAGGGCTTTTTATTAAAAAAAAGAATTATTTAAAAATATGCTGTAACTGCTGACATCTTAGGCAACAAAGAAGTGTGTGTTTACGCTTTATATCAGTATAGATAGATATTAGAGCTACTAGAATGTCCGGACGGACATATTTTCTGGGGAATTCTTAAAATGTGGCCGTTGTCATAGAGATTGCGCTAAGCTGTTAGGGTTGGCACTTACCTGATATTTAATAATAGTAATTAAATGATATGCTTCGTAATTTTGGAACATACTTCATACTATTTTGTTAAACCTTAGGTAGACAAAAACACGCAGAAAACATAAAAAAAACAGATATAGGTTTAAATTTACGACGCGGACGTCGCTGGGCGAGTGGCTGGTATACTTGTCCTTATTTTAAGTAGGAATGAAATTAGTTAAAAACCGATTAAATATAAAAGGAAATAAAATGGTGCAAATAGCCATTTTGGAAGTTAAACTGTGTCAAATATTCGACATACATAAGCTAATTTTATTCATAAATATATCTCCAAGGTACGACTTATATTAGAGATGTAATTTTATTACCAACAGAAGTATGTTAACAATGGTACCGACAACCCTAGTACCAGATGAGATCACTAACAACGAAGTTACGCGGTAAAGTACACAAGCTGTTTATACCAATATTAGCGCGACAGATACGCGAGTACTTAGTATATACTTACCTGATAATCATACTTAGTATATACACTGATTAAACTTTAAATTCCTTAAATTTTTTTTATGTAATATGAGGTAGCAAACGAGCTACAGGTCACCTGAATCTACCGAAATGGAAAGCGACCGCTGCCCATAAACATCCGTAATCTCGGATGCGTTCCCTACCTTTAATTAAAGGAGGAGGAGACGCCTATTAAGAAGACTTTTCCTCTTCCTATGCGTCTCCTCCACCGTTAAATCCACTTTTCCTTCCCATCGTTTCCTCGTAAGAAAAGGGTGGATAGGGAAAGGGACTAAATTTGACATTGGTTAGTTTGTAAAAGGCGCTTACGAAACTACGAGCATAAATGTTTATTATCACTAAACGCCCCTATTTACTATTCTAGGCTTCTGAAGAAAGGTTTCTAAGAGCCGTCGCATATTTTGACTAAACTAACGCACAAATGTTGTGTGATTGTCGATTATTTTGCAGCGAATTCAACTGTTTAGGACAACTAAGAATCGAGTAGTGTACGCACCTCCATATCATAGGCTCATCATATAAAGCGAGGCAACAGCTATGCGATACTTAGACAAAGGTGCGGGCCCTCTAACACTCCGGGTTTCATTCAATTATTGAATTATATTTTGACTTATTTATAGCCTCATTTATGCCATCTTCACATCCGACATTCATCAGTGTTGCCGCAACACCGCAACTCACAATCAAAGCTCCAACTGACAGTTACTTAACATGTTTGCCCTTTTGCAAGTTACAACACTTGAGACCTATTCTTTGATGTAACCGAACGCATTCCTAATAGAAGATATGTATTTGATATACTTAATGTGATAATAACCGTCGGTTTGTAATCTTATTGAAATTTATTCGTAACAGTTTACAATCGCTTTGATTCCCATAAGCTATTATGGAGGTGGGCACACTACTCGGTTTTTAGTTGTACAACAAAACGGTTGAATTAGCTACGAAACAATCGACAATCACAACCGTTATGCGGTAGTTCAGTCATAGAATGTCTCTTTTTTTTCAACATGTTTTATCTTGTACATTTTTGATATTCGCTTTTGCTTGCGTCTTTTGCTGCGTAGTTTTTTAATGGTGAAAGATTTTTGAAATAATCCAATAGATTTTGAGGTTATTTGAGACACTTTTTCGAGGTTATTTGTGAAATTTACTTTACTAAACTAAAGACGACATTTCAAAGAGCCTAATTTAACTCCCCTCACAGTTGTAGAATAATAATGGTTGTAGAAACATCAAAAATACTTTTCATTATGTTGAAATTGTTAATTATTCATTTAAAAGGAAATCTCAAATTTTATAGAAATAAATCAATTAATTAAAACCACTTCCTTAAGTTGCTGTCCATACGTTTTTCTGTCATTTTTTATAAAACTAATATCAACGAAATTGGTGGTCCATTGTGTTTAAACGGGTTGCATTGTTGTCTCTATTAGGTGTATCGTTATATGCAATGACGATAGAGTTTTTGTTGGTCCGAGCCCTTTGCACGACCGGGCTATGAATGAACCAGACCCGGCTTATTTATAACTTGTATCTTGTAAGAACGTCTCGGGAATCAAACGCTAGGTAACCGCACCTATTATTGACACGTAATTTTTCTAGATTTTTCTCTTTTCTTTTGTATGTGATTTTTAAAGTATAGCATGTTGAAAGTGCTAGAAAAACCGTCGAAAAAAATGAACAAAATATCTATACTTAAAGAATGCCATGAAATTTATTTAATACATTTAAAAGTGTATTAAGTTGTATAATGTAAATTGTAAATTAAGGTCACCACTAGTACTGTTTACATAACATTCTATAACAGGTGTATTCAAGATGTACAATTAATCTCTCAGAAGGCCGCGATAACTTTAATTGAGCGCAATCACTTTAAACTTTAAAAGCATTGACATAACTTATTCGGCAATGAGTGACATCTAACTTGATTTGAATACTGTTAATTATCTAAACTTTGTTCTGGGTTAATGCTTGAAAATTTCATATAATTTTTAACAGAATTTCTTCACAACTTCTCCCTATTTAAAGGTTAGTGACAAACATTTATAAAGTTAGTCAGTCTACTAATTTTAGTACTAAGTTAAAGGGTAACGACATTTACAAGTTTGCACAATATTTTGCAAAAAAATTATCAGTTGCAAGTATGGTGGTAATAAAATATTATTTATAATTAATGTCACAATAATTCAGAAAGTGACTTCATCCGGTCAACTCAGTAACTATAATTATAAAGATGCAAACTGTATACATTAGTAGGTGTGCAAGCTTGGGCGCGTTCACCCTAGCAGTGCTCGGCGTGGTCGCCATGTGGCTCAGTCGGCGAGCGGACGCGCGCGCATTATGTCGTGTTTGTTCCTCATCGTGGTGCTGGCTGTCCACAGCCAGGCTTACGTGACGGATCCGCCCTCGTTCGCGAAGCGGCTCGACAGGCTCTACGAGAAGATAGAAAGGTTCAATCTAGCTCAGAGCGAGCCGGTGCGTATGGAAGATAAATTGAACGCGAAGCTTGCTAAGTTGAATGCATTGACACCGGTGAGGTTGGGGGATGAGGATGAGGAGTTGGTGTCTACGATGCAGCTGTGGGGGGACATGAGCGAGGATCAGGTTCGCGACGTGATGCGCGAGTTGCAGCGAATGAAGGAACAGCGCCCAGAGGATAAAGTGGACCGGTTAGAGGGAGAGTACGGTGATAGTGATTGGAATGATGAGGTCAGTGGATAATGTATTTTACTTACAAGTGACTTTTAAAGTACGCTATTGATGTTAAGTGCCAGTTTATGTTTGTATTTGAAGATTGTTTGTTAGGTTAGGATTTATACTTGCACAGTTGTTGCAATTTATACGTAAAACAAGCGTTGACTTAAAATCGAATCGCGCATCGAATCTTGGCCTTTTTGTAAAAGTCGATTCAACAATTTTTTAGAATAATTTTACGAGAAAACTCTCATTTTTTATTTGGACTTGAAGTGATTATCAGTAGTATTATTATGCAAAACTTTTCTACTGTTCGTTAGTTGTTCAAAAGTTTAGCTATTATCTATAGATAAATTGTTTCGAATACTTAACATTTGTCTTAGCAATATTATTTCGGCTTTTTACGGACCAACTGCCAGTCGCTATTAATACCTGCGGTTGTGTGGTATTCAAAATAAACAATACGGTTGTTTATTTTATTACATATCTTAGTTCCATTGATGTTATAATGATCGAAATATTTACGTTATAAATAAACTTATTTCAAATAATGGTGATTGTTTATAACAAATTTCATAATCAGATTATACCGGGGTCGAATATTGCAGCAACATTCAATTATATTCGATTATTTCAAGGCCAATAACATCTATTATTTCAGATAATAGCCAGTATAAACATACGAGTATCACAGTTCCGTCTTTACCTTGACAATTTTCATCACACGTTGAAACAATTAGCACATAATTTCTCCGCAAATGCACTTTCTCCGATGTCTGTTTTGATTTTTGAAACATAATGAGAAATAAAGAAGCAAAATCAAAAAAGTATTAACATTGAATGTTGAAAAGGTAGAGGAAGATCGAGTATGGATTATGTTAAAGAGGATATGCATAAAATATGAGTGAATTCAGAAATGACGAGTAGAGAGATGGTAAAGATCTATGGGGACTCTGTAAGGACAAGGGCATGTTGATAAATTAGACGTAAGACGTGGCTATTTGCAAATTGATTCCTTAGGTCGATAAAGTAAAACAATACTAGTATTCTACGTTTCTTTGAACCATTCATTAGACTTGCATCATAATCAATGCATGTTATTTTTTAACAGAGAGAAAACATTACAAGATGTTACATATAAACCAAAATTGTAATCCATACTTTTAGAATTAGTGAATGAAAACTTTTTGATATCCGACTAAGCAGATCATGTTGTTAAAATCGATTAAATTTAAACCAAATTAATTAAAATATCTTAATATTTTAATGCGGTTAAAGTACTTTTCTATAAATATATTAACCATAATCGAATACATAGTTGGATTTAGCATATACTGGTAACAATTAATGCCGTTTGTCCCGGTAACAGTTAAATTATGGCGTTCGATCGGTTAATTTTAACTCGCTGAGTTAACGCGCGACCACAATAACCGCGCTCCCGCAACCCCCCGCGCGGCCTGCTCTCGCCACATCTGCTCTCTGACATCATTCAGTTAATACATCTTCACGACTTTATTTAGATTATAGACAGAACACATAATTTTATTAAAATTATAAATAACCACCGGTAAATGTCTTAATGTCGGAACTACGTACTTTTACCTCTACTTTTGGTTATTAATAATGACCGAAAATTAGTAATCATTTTCAATTTAACATTAAAAAAAAATTTTTTGTCTGTCTGTCTGCGCAAGCCGCGATTTTATTTATCAGCAACGCAAATACATCATCTGCCCGAAATCTGGAATTTTTTTTAATATTACAGACACTCTAATTTTATTATATGTATAGATGTCGACTTTAATAGTACTTGGATGAAAAAACCACTAGCGATCATAGCTTATTAAATACTTCGCTCACTATGACTTTCAATTTACGACCGGAAACTGACGGAGAATAAAGTTTTCAAATAAACATTAATACAACTCATAAGCACACGTTTCACTTTTTAATAAGAAAGCGCGAGAGTTACGTTGCACTACTGACTATTTGATCTAAAACTCATAGTATCGAAATTTTAAAAGGGCAATATGTCTATTGCATGTGCTGGATACGGAATTTAAATCCATTCTCCTTTCCCACAAGATTCGTACAAGAAAAGGATGGGAAAGTATGTGGATTAGGCGGCTTAGGGGATGCATAAGTTGAGGAAATAGAAAATATCCTATATCCGTCCTCTATTGATTAAAATTAGGTAACGAATCTACAAATGAAGAAATTTGTGGGAAAATATTGCATTGCTAATTTATCCTATTCCTGTATCCGCTTGCTCGTTACTCACTTTATACTATAAATATTTTTACATATGTTTCAAAAAAAAACATTTTTGGTCTGTCAGAACTGAATGTCTGCAGCAGGCTTTATATTTATACTTTAGTGATTCTGCGCCCTAACACATTAGGATGCTGTATCACTAA